TCCTATCTCGATGTACGTGTTTTTAATCCTTTCTCTAACTCTTACAAGAAATCTTCAATCATAGCTTGCCACAGGAGAAATGAGAAGGAGAAAAGACGTCAGTACGAAGAGAGGATTTGTAACATCGAGCATGGTTCATTTACTCCTTTAGTGTTCACCACTGCTGGAGGAATGGGTCCATCTGCCTCTACGTTCTATAAATACTTGTCATCAAGGCTGTCAATCCGCTACTCCAAAAGCTATTCAAAGATTCTTAGCTGGATTCGATGCTGCCTTTCATTTTCTCTTTTAAGGAGCTCCATTATGTGTCTCAGAGGTGCTCGCTCATCCTACCATCATCCCTGTCACTCCTTCCGATCTCATGAGCAAGCTCTCTCAGATGGGAGGGTTTACTAAACTACATGTACACAAATACTGTATACTATTATGTTCTATTATTTATCTGTCTATTTTTAACTCAGACACTCATACTTATAACTTGTATTATGTATATTGTAAAAAAAAAAAACTGAATACTGTCCATGTACATGTACAATACACTCACAAATGTACGTGTCATCAGTGTTTTATTTTTTATTATCTTATGTAGTGATGGTAATCACAGGATGTTGCAGCAGTTGTTAAGTAAAGGTTATAATGTTAATGGTATTGATCAGGAAGGAGCCACTGCACTGATACACTGGTAAGAATACATGTACATGTACATGTACATGTATCTGTACATGTATGTACATGTACATGTAGGGTATACGTGTTTTTTTACATTTAATAAATATTCTATGTACATGTGATGCCAATTGTTACCAATGGTACTGTACATATTCTGTTCATTGTTGTATTTGTCATTTCTATTGTTTTGCAAATGCATGTACAGTATATGTACATGTACGTATTGTTCATGTACAATGTTCATGTTCATGTTATATTATACAGTGTGTTACGGTGTTCAGTTGGTTTGTGCTGATCTCCTTATAAGGAAAGGAGCTAATATTGACCAGCAGGTATACCAATACACACTATCACCTCATCACGTACATGTACATGTAAATTGATTCATTAGTCCCTGTACTGTAGTACAGGGTCTCAGACCAAATTTCACCAGAATTGAAAAGGAGAGAATTCTTCATTTTTATAATTTTTTCTGATACATACACATGTTCTTATGTTGTGTAGCAAGTTTGAGCTGATTTTGATAAAAATTGGATTTTTAATGAATTTTTAAAGTTACTCAAAAAACAGACCAAAGTCCCTGTACTGTAGTACAGGGTTTCGGGCCAAATTTTGTCAAAAATGACTACGAGAGAGTTCTCCATTTTTATAATTTTTTCTGATACATATACATGTACATGTTTTTATGTTGTGTAGCAAGTTTGAGCTGATTCTGATCAAAATTGGATTTTTTATGAATTTTTAAAGTTACTCAAAAAACAGGCCAAAGTCCCTGTACTGTAGTACAGGGTCTGGGGCCAAATTTCACCCAAATTGAAAAGGAGAAAATTTTCTATTTTTATAATTTTTTCTGATACATATACATGTACATGTTCATATATTGAGTAGCAAGTTTGAGCTGATTTAATTATAAATTAGATTTTTTATGAATTTTTAAAGCTGCTACGTACATGTACATGTACATGTACATCTACATGCATACCATTAGCCTTGTTACATGTTTTCTGCTCACTTAGCATGCTTTGTTGGAAACCCAGATGCATACAACTGTACATTTACATGTACATGTACATGTACAATATACACTATACAGTACAATACAGTAGTATAGTGTGTTATAGTGTTTTTAATACAGTTTTAATGCTATGTGTACTGTACTTGTCATTCTCAGGCTATAGATGGTTCAACAGCACTACACAGTGCATCAGTAGTTGGCTCGGTCTCTTTCATTCAGTTACTATTAATGAATGGAGCCAATCCTAATGCTAGAGATAATGATGGCAGGCTTCCATTACACTGGGCCACTGCATCACGCTCTGTTGAAGCACTGGAACTATTACTGAAGGTAGGGACGTCATGTACAATTGTACATATACAATTGTACATTTACATGTACTGTAGTGTAGTGTCATTGTTTTTATGGTAAGCATGAGTGAGCATAAAACTGTTGCTTTAGTTTTGCAGTCTTGTAAATAAAATGATAAATTGTTCATGTACAAAGATTTCACTAAATGGGTGGAGTAGGACTCGTTTTCCTCTTGAAACTACATGTACATGTACATGTGTACATTTAGGTGTGTAGTATTTGACAGGCTTGAATCTTTAGTGTATTGTATAGTGGAAAGTTTTTGTAGATTTTGTGATTTTTTTCCCAAAATTTATGAAAATTAAATCTGCAAAAAAAATTGATTTACATGTACACGTATATGGTTTAAGATGGCTGAAAAGTAAAAATCACGAAAATTAAAGCCAAAAATTTTCTGCTATACGGCAGATAGTCACCAAATTCCTACTTGTAAATTACCAAAACGATCTCTCTCTCTCTCTCTATTACAGGAGTCTCAGTATAATGTTGATGTCACTGATGGTTCTGACATGACTCCATTGATGTGGTCCTGTTATAATAAAAATGAATTAATAGCTAAAAGACTAATAGAACTGGGAGCTGATGTACATGAGAAAGACACTGATGGAAGGACAGCAGCTCACTGGTACAATATCTCATGTACATGTACTTCTTATTGTATTTTATGTTTGTATCCCCAGGGCTGCTAAAAGGAGTGATATTAACATGTTGAAGTTGATCCTAAAACCTGACATGACTTATTTCAAGGATGTTTAAGTGTGTGAACTACATGTACATGTATTATCTTTGAAATTATGTACTGTACATGTACATACAGTATTAATGTACATATACATTTGTGTATCATGTACATGTACATGTATTTTCTCTTTTTTCTCTGTTTCTCTATTTTAATTCTTTCTTTTATCTCCTCTCTCTCACACCTCTTCCCTCCCTCCCTCTCTCTCTCTCCCCAGGGTTGTACTGTAATGCATGTATCGGCTCATGAAGGTTTTCAAGCTGGTATAGAATACATAATGAGCCTGAGACCTGAGAGTGTCCATGACACAGACAAAATGGTAAAGCAGTGTACACTTACCATATTTTAAAACTCTCCTCCTTTTCTGTCCTCTCTTTTTCTTCTCCTTCCCCACTCTCTCTCTCCCTCCCTCTCTCTCTCTCTCTTCCATTCATTACCCCAAACATGTACATGTATTTTTTTCCGTCTTGCTCTCCCCTCAGGGCAGGACTCCATTACATTATGCTGCAGCAATGGATCGTGTTCATGTTTGTTACCATTTGCTCAATAAAGGAGCTGATGCTAGTCAAAGAGACAGTGACAATAAGACTCCATTGGATTATGCATTGATCAAGCAACATGAGTTTGTCGTGGCTCTCTTCACTTGTCATGATGCATCAGTTGGGGACTTTATTAAAATGCAGAGGTACAGTACATGTACATGTACATGCTGAAATGACAATGGACAACTACATGTACATGTAATGTACACATTTACATTTATACTTGCGTCAATTTAAATTGAAAACAATATACATGTACACAATACACATACAACGTATACATGTACATGTACATGTATGTACACATGTACATGTACATGTATGTACACATGTACATGTACATGTCACTTTTTCTTTTCTGTATAGGATTGAGGCTGATACTGGTAGTTTATACAGTGGTGGTACTGATGGGTATGGTTTAGTGTCTGAGAGTGTGTCATTCATTGCTCCATCAGAATATGCTAACAGGTCAAGTGTCACTGGTATCATTAATCATTATCTTGGATACTTTATACCCGGAGATAATAAAAGTGAGTTCTTTTTCCATGTACTGCATACATGTATTATTGTGGGGGAAACATTCTTTTCATCATCAGCCCTTGTGAATGAAATATTCTCTTTCCAAATGAAAAAGTTATTCATCAATGAAATAACATTGGATCATCGTTTTTATATATTTTATCCAATAAAATACAAATGGCTATGGGCATTATAAAATGTACAGTACTGTTCAGCTATAAGTTAACTTTTATCGTGTGTGTGTGTGTGTGTGTGTGTGTACGACACAGGTGCAACTTGTCTATGCACTGATCCAAGCTGCACTAGTGAAGGTAGCACCTGTATCGTGTATTTATCATGTACATCATGTACATGTACTTATCTCGTTTTATGTACATGTACATTAGACCAACCATCTGCTGTAGTTTACATGTATAAAAACTTTCATCCTCCTCTATGTCTACTTGTACATGTACTTGTTCTCTTTTCTCTCTCTTCCTATTCCCTCTATTTCTTTACTCAGGTCCTCCTCTTCATTATTATTTCTGGATCAAAGGCTCAAATTTGTACTAGTCTTGATCAATCAAGAGACACAACAGAAAGAAAGGGACTATACTCTCAGTAATAGGTGGAGCTAGTCAGAGGATTAAGGACAGGGAGGACTACTCACCAAACGATCTTCATTGATAAAAAAAATAAAAAATAAACACAAAAGACGAATAGTTGCTCGAGAAATTGACGATGAAAAAATGGATGGACTGCTTCACATCATTTTGAGTTCTATTCACCTGGATGGAGAAGTATTTGGTATATTCTTAGATATACTCAGAGAGGAAGATACTCTAAGAACTATTGGACTAGCTGATGAGCTTATACAAAAATAATAATAGCTAGGTATTTTTGCTTTAGTATTATTACAATTATTCTTATTGTTGTTGTTGCTTTTTAGCTTAATATTGTTGATTTTATGAAAGCAATTGCTTTTTTAAAATTATAACAAAAAAGAAAAAGAAAAATGTAAAAATTCTTGAGTATCTCTTCATTGATGTACATGTATAGTTGTCATAGCAACAGTCATTTTCCTCAGCAACGCTACTGATCTAGTTGTTAGAGTAATTCTTCTATAGAAAGTAGAAGGAGGAAGAGAGAGAGGATCAAGAGAGAAAGAATGGAATGACATCATGAGAAGTAACATGACTTACCCTTTTTGATGAAAAGGAGCATACATTGGGTACCCCATAAGAACAGTAACAGTATACCATAACCTAATGATAACAATAAACAATGTATCATGTAATAAGTAAAAGAAAATGCACGTAGACATGTACATGTACAGTACATGGATGCACATAGCCTTTGCTTTTTTCAAAATTAGCTCAGTTCTTTAAATTCTCGAATTCTTATAACTTGAAAATTATCAGCTCAAATTTTCTACATAGCATAAGGGCATCAATATGTATCAGAAAAAGTAATAAAAATTGGGAGTGATTTGGAGCCATTTTTTGGAAGAAGTATGGGCTATATAAAACCTTGGGTATTTATCAAAAATTGGCCTATTTCTAAAAATCCTCATAACTCGAAAATTATTTGTCAGAAACGGTTCAAATTTTGTACACAGCATTAGGACATCAATACGTATCAGGAAATGTAATAACAAGCGTAACAGTGTAAAAAATATTCCTATAATTGATTTCACCACCTTGCAAGTACAACTTGGTCATAATTAAGACTTATAGAGGTTCTCTCTACCTTCAAATGCTTCTAGAGAAGTTTTTAAACAGTATCTTTATGTTCCCTTGCTGTTAGAAAGCTCTTAACTTTGTCCCATGTGTAAGCCGCCATTTTGTTTGCCGTGACCACACCCACTACGTAGGTAGCGTGGGCGGGTGGTTGCTAAGGCTTGTTATTTCTCCAATACAACATGTATAGAAGAAATGTAAGTGTGGACATACAAATATATATATATATATACAAACATCGCACGTGGTTGAAATCAATTATAGGAACGACCTGGGGGCTACGCCCCCAGGTCGTTAAAAATTAGGGGTCATTTTGGAGCCATTTTTTGCAAAAAAGCATGGGCTATTATAGCCCATGCTTTTTTGTAAAAAATGGCTAGCCTTGGGTATTTTTTAAAAATTGGCTTATTATTTTTTTAAAATGCTCATTACTCAAAAATTATTTGTCAGAAACTGTTCAAAATTTCTACACAGCATCAGGATATCAATATGTATCAGGAAATGTAATAAAACTTAGATGTGATTTCGGAGCCATTTTTTACAAAAAAGCATGGGCTATAGCCTTGCATATTTTTCAAAAATTGGCTTATTTCTAAAAATGCTCATAACTCAAAAAATATTAGTTGGAAACAGCTCAAATTATTAACAAAAATAACAAAATTAACAAAAATATTAGGTCACACACATATTTAACCTATTTATTAAAAGACACATTAATATTCTTACTCAGGAGGTAGCATAGCTTTCATCATCACAACTTCCTTTCTCACCACACCTCCCCTCACTCCACCCACTCCTCATCCTTACCTACACAACATCACATGACTATCATCAAAAGTCACATCATCTCTCACTTGTATGGTCACGAGGGGATCTTGAGGGATGAGGGAGAGGTTGGCCGTCACATGTGGTCTCCTGGTTCTTCAATACAAGAGATACTAGAGGACCAATACTGTTCCTTTCTGGAGGATGTCAGGTCTCATTCATTTAATTAAGAGGAGAACATCAAAGAGAAGATAATGAAGAGACTCAAACCTTCCTAACATATAGGAGAGACTATAATAGAAAGAGAGGGAGGGAGAGATATACATAGAGAAAGGAAAGAAGGAAAGGAATAGAATGAGGGGGAGGAGGGAAAAGGAGGGAAGAAAAATAGAAAGAAGAAAGGGAAGAAAGAAAAGAAACAAGTAAAGAAATGAGAAAATGGAGAGAAAATACATATGTACATGGTCATAGGAAAGGTTTCCTGTTTTTCTATCACTTTTCCTTATAACTGTGTGTGCCACTGCTTAGGTACAGTTTTCATGGATTAGTAAAGTGTACGAATCAAGTTAGCAAATTAATAAGTTAACTACAATGAAGTAGCTAAAAGCAAGTAAAGCAAAAAAACATGCAGTACATGTACATGAATCATTAACTGAAAATGACTATAAATACACATGTACATGTACATGTATCAATTAATGGACAATGTTATGAAGACAAATTGAGGTAATACTGTCCATGCAGTATAGCTAATAGGAGGAGCACATGAAATAAAAGCTGAGATCCCTCCCTCTCTCTCTCTCTGATGTCCTTATGAGCTAAAAAGCAAAAATTAAAATAATTTTTGTCAATTTATAAAATTTGATACCCAACTGATAAATACATGTATGCATGGAGAGAGATATACATGTACATATGGTAGAGAGTGGATACAATATTTACCTTGCAAATATTTTAGATAGTTTATCCAGTTTGATCACATTATTAGGTAGACATGTTAACTCATTCTACTGGACCTATAATAACAATAACACACAACATGTAAACATAATTATGAGTCTTTATACAAAAATAAACAACAAACTAAACTATAAACAAATCTACAACATTCAAGGGAGTTGTCTCAAAGCATGCAGTATACCATGCTATTACAATTTAATTCATACATACATGTACAGTAAACATGTATTATAATGATATTAAAAATGTTATATTTTCATTCTCACCTCAAGCGCTGACAATCAAAGTTTTCAATATCTTCAGATATTTCTTTGATTTCGTTAGATGATAGATCCAGTCTAGTCAGTTCGACCTGGTCCCACTATCTCTCATCAACATCAAATGAAGCAGTACTACCATCAGGAGGATCAATATTGAGTCTCCACAGTTTAGGAGGAATAACACTAATGCTCCTGTAATTATACACATTCACCCACTAACTTTCATACATCCACATGATCATTAATGCGTCATGAAATGAAAATCAAAAAATCATTTCTGTCATTTTTGGTGAATTTAAAAACATGTTACAAGTCTCGCCATAGCCTCCTACCTGTTTGACAGGTTCAGTGAACCGGTTTTACGAGCTTGTTTCAATAAGGATTCTGGTACAGTCCCCTCCTTACCTACCCCATCACTTTGACTAGGAGAATTGAAGAATTTGGGATTTGGTTTGAGTCTAGTAGAACCAGCAGGAGATTTTCTACTGGAACCACGACTGGAACTCATTTTATCAATTTTGGATAAATGGGTATGGTCTTATGTTGCATAGTTGGGTGGGGCTGGTATTTTGCAAGAATGGCATCTAAAAGTGAGGGCCACTTTTCTCTTCTCTTTGTATCTCTTTCATTCTTTCTTTGATTTCTTACTGTCTCGCTTACTTTACTCCTCTGTATCCTGTCCTTATTCTAACTCATCACTATATTACTGTTACTCTGTTACTGGTACCTCTTGTTCTCTATAGACTATCAACCAGTGAAGAGATGGGGACACTCCACAGTAAAGGTAGGAGACTACCTATATATGTGGGGTGGGTACGGGTCTGGAGTAGACTATGATGTGATGGAGATGTATCACTTACCAACTGGTGCTTGGGACCAGAAACCTACTACTGGTGCCCCACCACCAGGTACCTGGGGCTATTCAGCTCTCGCTATTGGGAAGGACATATATTATTTCGGTGGATATGGTGGTGGTTATTATCAAAACAGCTTACATTGTTTCAATGTGGATTCATTCAAGTGGAGGGAACTCTCTCCTTCTAGTTCTGATTATGGTCCAATGAAGAAGGGCTACTGTGGAATAGTATCAGCTCATTTTGACAGTGAAGACTATCTCGTAATAATCGGAGGACTGGGATCATCTTCTACACCTAAGCAACCTAACACTCAGTATAATAATTCTTATGGTCATTTGAGATGTAATGAGATACATTATTACAGGATTTCATCAGGTCGGTAATTCTTATCATTGATACACAATAGTTGATGAGTATTTCAAACTGAATAATTTATATTAATGTACATAAAACAGATTGTTAATAATTAAGTGTGTTTGTTAGTGTGTGTCATGTGTTTGTGTGTGATGGTGACGTGTGTCTATATGTGACGTGTGTGTGTGTACTAATACATACATTATGATGTGTCTGTGTATGATAGTGCATATGATGTATGTGAGAATTTATGAATGTATGACGTGTGTATGTGACGTGTATCTATAATGTGCATGTTATGTGTGTGTGAGTATTATCATGTATCTGTGTGTGTGTGATGTTTGTATATGTACATGTATCTATACATAAGCTAATGTGACTTGTGTGTGTGTGTAGGTTGATGTTATTTATTATCATTTTCAATAAAGTCCTGTATCACATGAGTCATTAAATTACCCACATACAATGTTCCATGAGTTTTGTATAATTATTCATTAACAATCATAACTGACATGTACCAGAATAGATTAGTAATCTTGAAATAAGGAGACCCCCTGGACCTCTCCTTCATGTGTACAGGTGTGGTGTGTGTGATGGTGTGTGTATCCATACATGAGTGTATCTGTGTGTGTGTGTGTGTGTATGTGTGTGTGTATCATGTGATAGTGATGTGTGTCTATGCATGATGTGTATGTATAAATAATAATGTACACACATATACACATACATATGTATGATGAATGTGTATAATGTATGTGTGTGTATGTGGTAAGTAAGTGTACATGAATGTTTGTACATTACTATTAGATCAATGGATATCTCCTGTTGTTACTGGAGACAGACCACCTCCTATTAATGACTTCACTCTAACACCAGTTACTAATAACACTGCGGTAATGTTCGGAGGCTCTACTGATAATGGATTCAGTAATAAACTGTATATGATAAGTTTCACTAAGACATCAGTTGTGAGTTAATACTGTAGGATGGGTTTTGATTCTGAGAATCCTTTAATTGCAAATTATTTATTATTCTTTCAGGATATATTAGAAGTACCTAATCCTGGAGGATCAGTACAATGGCCTAAGGGAAGATGGGGTCATTCCAGTGTACTGATTACCACTAGTTCAGGACCACACTTACTTGTGGTAGGTGGATCACGTGCCTATGATGCATGGTTACTGGACATTAACAAAAGAAAATGGAAAGAACTGGTAAGTATTATATTATGATGCTTGATAATGAAACATAAAGTGATTAACTAAATTTGTAACTCATGAGGTTTGAAATGTACATGTACATATTATGATACTCAGTGAAAACTACTGATGAATAATGCTGATGATATTCAGTATGTGTGTGTGTGTGACTATTTTTAGTGTGAATGTGTGTTTGTGTCATTTTGTGTTTGTTTCTTTACCTAAATATGTGTAAATATACATGTGTCTGTCTGTCTGTGTGTGTGTAAAGATGGATTCACAATTGATAGAGTGTCAATGCTGGAATTAAAATAAATTGTATTTTATATAGATTGTGTACATTGTGTATGTACATACATGTATTTGTGTGTATGTGTGCATATGTTTTAATATGTGTATGTGTGTACTAGGCCTGAGGATTTTATTCCCAAAATAAAAAAAGAATAATAGGTGGTCTAAAGAATAAAGAATAATTCTGGAATAATAGGGCAAAATTTGTAAAATTGTGCAGTAGGTGTGGCTGAATGCTTAATAAATCTTGTCTAACACCTTCAAAGATACCCATGAGTGTGCTTTACAAGACTCAATCGAGGCTTCCTTATGATGTTACAGTATAATGAGCATTAAATGAGACAAATTTTGTATAGTTATTTTGTTTATTTTTATAATACTTGGGAATAATAATAGGAATAATAGGCAAATTTATTGGGAATAAGGGAATAGAATAATGGGGACATTTTTGGGAATAATATCCTCAGCCCTAGTGTGTACTAACACGTACATCATGTGTACATGTAACATGTACATGTGTGTGTATGTGTGTGAGCAATTATGCATGCTTTACATGTAGCTTTATATGTGTATGCATGTATAGATGTACATGTATGTGTGTATATGCAGACACTTAGTTCTTAATTAAGGACTCACATGATATAATAACACACTCAGTTGTGTATACTTGTCTATTAATATATTGTGTATTATTAATTTTATTATGTCATTTTGTGTTACATAAAACACACTGTGCAGACTATAACACTGTGAGTTAGTTATTGTGTTTATTAACCAGATATCAAATCAATTAATCTGTCAACACAAATTAATTATTATCAATTTAATTTTATAGACTAATCTACCAGACAATGTCACTAACAGATACAGGCATTCTGTCTCAGTGTGGAGTGTGACCCCAACTACTAACTGGATAATTGAGTTTGGAGGAAGACTACCATACGCTGATACAGCAGTTATTGAACTCAGTAAGTACATGTAGACAGTAGTAGATACAATGTGTATTGAATATGTAATGATAATTAGTAATGATAATATTACAATAAAGTAAGTAATTCTTATGATGAATATTTAATGAGAGCATTTGACATATACCTATGATACTAATTATTACCAATTCATTCCTGCTATGTACAATAGTGAAATATAATGATTGCTAGAGTGAATGAAATATTATTATGAGTGTATTTATATACAATAATATGTTCATGTGGTTAACTGTGTAAACTGACAGAGGTCACACATACAATGATTTAACATGAATCCATCAATAATAAGGTTACCATAGTAACTAAGTGTAATTAATTTGTGTATTTCTTATTCTCCACTATTTTGTTACCGTATAGGATATACTACTGATAATGATTGGTCTACTAGTGTAATACCTCTGGACCAGTATCAAGATCAACTAAGAAGAAGGATACTGAGTGATTGGGAGAATTTAGGATTAAGCAAAGAGGTTCAATTACTCAGAGGACACTTACAAGAAAGAGAGAGAGAATTCTATGAGGAACAGCTTCAAAGAGAAATAAAAGAGAAGAAGCAGATACAGCAAGATCGAGACAAAGAGCAGCAACAGCTTTTTCAAGAAAAGGCAACACTTAGTCAGCAACTTGATGATGCTACCACTCTCCTTGAGCAAGCAGAAAAGGATAAATCAACTCTTGAATTAGGTACTATTGTGTTGTACTGTTGTTTATGTGTACATTGTTTACATTATAATACTAGTGGATTGGACAATTTTGAGTATGGAAATAGTATCCTGTACTCAATATAGGTCAAATTGTCCATGCATTATAAATAATGAGATTGATGTAGAATGAGCTCTGCTTACCATATATGGTATGATTAGCAATAATCATAGTACATGTATTTATGGGTTACTGTACATGCAGTGCAAATTTGTATAAGCAACAAATATTATTTTATCCTTAATAGAATATTACAAGAAGCTCAAAATTAAAGTTGCTGAAATATTGGAAGAGAAGACACAAGTAGAGGAGAAGAAACAGATTATTACTGGTTAGTGTATGATCAGTACATAATATGAGATGAGAGAGTGTTCTATTAATGTAGAAGATTATGAGAAACTT